ATCTTCCTCCTCATTCTTATTACCATTTGAGTAGTGCTTCGTTGTACTCTCTAAGTCACTTCCTCAAATATTAAAATGTTTCTTCCGCTATTACCTTTTGAGATAATTGTGATGATTCTCATTTTCCATATGAGGAAGATAAGACGCAGGAAACTGAAGGGCTTGCATTCCTACAGCTTTCTTAGAATGCTTTCCATTCCAGCCTTGCACAAGTAAGGGGCTGGGCACAGAGCACAGAGAACCCCTTTAATTTCAGTCAGTGACCAAGTCCATAGTCATCTGCTTAGACTCAGTCCTGGCAATTTGGACCCAAAATATCTTAGGTGGAGACTGGGAATCTAAATTACAAATTTGTTTTTGTCCTTATGGCTGGAGGGTCAGGAGAAATGGGGGCACTGGATTGAACTGTGGTTTTGACAAGATGAGATGGAAAAGGGTTGTTAGAAACTGAGGCAGTCATGAGGACAGTCCCAGAGGCTAGATGTTCTCTGGGGAGGGGTTCAGGGCTGAGCTCTGAAGCCCATTTAGAATAGAGTTGAGAGTATGGAAGGGTGGGTACTGGACGCAAGCTGAAAGGGCAGTTAGAACTATTGTTGTTGTCAGGTGCCATTGAATTAGTTACAACTCATAGCAACCTTTTGTGCAGCAGAATGAAACACTGCCTGGTCCCGCACCATCCTCACACTCATGGCTGCTGCTTCAGTCAGTCTCTCCGCCTCTCCGTTACCAAGCATGATGTTCTTCTCCAAGGGCTGGTCCCTCCTAATAACATATGCAAACTATGGGAGATGGAGGTTTACTATCCTGCTTCTATGGAACATTCTTGTTGTACTTCTTCCAACACAGAGTTGCCCATTCTTCTGGCAGTCCATGCTTGATTTAATAGTCTTCATAAGCACCGTAATCAAAAGCATCAGGTTTTCCTTGGTCTTCCTTATTCATTGTCCAGCTTTCACATGCATATAAAACTATTGAAATACTAAGGGTAAGACACACCTTCAAAATGACATGTTTACTATATAACACTTTAACACTTTTGCAGCAGATTTGCCTGCTGCAATATGCCACATGATTTCTGGACTGCTGTTTCTATCAGCATTGATTGTGGATCAAAGTCAAATGAAATCCTTGACAGTTTCAGTGCTTCCTCTGTTTATTATGATGTTGCTTATTGGTCTAGTTGTGAGGATTTATCTTTTCTTTATGTTGACTTGTCATCCATCCTGAAGGCTCTATTCTTTGTTCTTCTCTAGTAAGTGCCTCAAGTCTTCTTCACTTTCAGCAAGCAAGGTGCCATATCTGCATATCACAGGTGGTTAATATATCTTCCTCCCATCCTGATGCTGTGTCTTCTTCATGTTAGGCCAATTATCTTCTTTCCAGAGCCATAAGACCTGACAGTCCCCAAATGCACACCTCAGAGATGATATCGTTGAAATAATGAAGAGTCTCTGACAGGAGTTAGGACAGAGCTTCCTTTAACTTCTAGGAAGGGTCCGGTGCCAGCATCAGTTAGCTCCAGAGGGTCTGGAGGAAAGGCATCAGTCTGAAAGCAGGGTGGACCCATGTGGTTGCCGCCTCAAGAAGGAAGGAAGGCTTCGAGAGTCCTCATGAGCAGCTTAGGAAGGGGGGAGGTGGGGATATGAATGTACTTGAGCTGACCCGAGAAATGTTTGTCTAATACTCTGAACCTGCTCCTTTCTGGATGAGTCATGACATTTTCTGCTGTTCTCTTCCTTATGACTGCTGTGATCCCAAATTGGTGACATGTTTCTTCTCTGGACTTCTGCCACCAGCTTACCTGTTTCCTCTTCACTGAATGCTAGGGAAGTTTGCCTTCTCTAGTCCAGGTAGCACAGTGGTTAAGCATTTGGCTGATAACTAAAAGAAAGACGTGGCAGTCTGCTTCCCTAAAGATGGCCACCTTGGGTCCCCCACCCTCTGTCCTACAGGGTAACTCTTGCATTTCTCATTCCCATATCAGCCATCCTGCCTGTCTACACTTCTCCTCTTCTCGATTGGTTTATGGGATTCACTGGTGGCAAGGAAGCACTCCGATTCTTTGTAGACATTTCATTACCTCCTTTGCTGTTTGTCTCCCCAAGCATTACTAACATCAATACATAAGATCCCAAGCATTAATAATGCCATTACATAAGCTACCAAGCCAGCAGAGTAAGTGAAGAGCTCTCAAGAATTCACAGCTCCTTCCAAAAGTGACCCGGCATCTTGGGCGAAGGAGATTGATGCTGCTTCCTCCGCCACATGCCACTGTGCTTAGTAATCCTGCTCAGTCACAACCCCGACCTCCACATCATATTTCTTTTCCCTCGAGTCCTTTTCTCAAAGCCATCAAACGCCCTGATCTCCCATTTCAGTTTTACTGTCAGTTCAACTGTTGGGTTGATTGGGGGTCTAAACCCTCATCTTTCTTCATTACGCCATCCCACTGACCTTGAGGGACTATGGATTATTCATCTTGTAAATATCTGGTTACTCTCTCTGGAAAAATCTGGAAGCAAGTGGAGGGGTGTCTGTCTAGATAGAAAATTGAAGATGTCTGATTTCCATTCCCTGAGGAAGGCAGGCTAGCCATCTTATCTCTTTTCAGCTCCTGACATTGGAATTATTCAGATGACATTCTTCAGACCCAATGCCTCCATTTCCTAATTGTACCTACCACTGCTCAGGAGGAGAGTAATATTAACAAGACCCTTGATCTGGATTCAGACCACCCTACCAGGCAGCGCCCATGATTAGTTATGCCTTTATTCCTAGTGTTTGACCCACAATGAATTTACTCAGTATTACTGAACCCAAGGTCAAGTGATTGGATGAATGAGAAGAGAAAGGCAGAGTTATGACATCTGCTTTTAACTCCAGCAGGCTAAGTCTAGCTTGTGAAGTCCTTGGGGTCTTAGGACTTAAAGTTCTTTAAAGAACATTTCCTACCAAGCACAACAGACTTCCTTCTCTGTGCAGCCCTAAAGCCTGTGCACCCCAACAAAGTAGCATCACAAAGACCCTGCGGCAGTCTCCCTGAGGGTTTTCTGTGGAAGATGGGGCTTTGACTTATTCTGGTTTACTTAAGTGCAAGCAGGGGATGCAGCAATGCACTTGGGAAGTTGGTGGAGGCGGGGTTGCAAGGACCTTTTTGTGGGCTCGGGACATTAGTAAGTGCTCATTAGATATGGAAGGGATGGGATAAGGGGGGCAATGGAGATGACCATCAAGGGAAAGAGTGAAGCTGGTTATAGTATAAGGGAAGAAAATGACCATGTGGGCATGTGTGTGAGAGTGTCAGTATTGTCAGAGTGTGTATGTGTGTATGTGTGTGTATGGTGTATGTGGGGGAACAATGAAGACCAGAAGAGTGGACAAGAGTGGACCAGCAGCAAAGATGGGCAGAGTGAGTGAGGCTGCTGACACTTTCGAATCTCTACAATCTATGACAGGACCTCTGGTGGCACACTGGTTAAGTGCTTTGCTGCTAACTGGAAGGTTGCTAACAGACATAGTTAGAGCTATTTTGTGGAATTTAGAAATTTTGAACTCACAGAATTCACCCCTTTTGCTCTTCTCTGGAGCCCTGTCTGAGAAATAAAGGTGTCAGCACCCTGTCAATCTGAGGCTTTGTCCTGACCCCAACCCTACTGGGCGTGCAGTACAGGAGGTGTTAACTTAACTCTAGCACTGATTTCTCACATCTACAAAGGGGAGTGACTACATTGAACCCCAGGGTTAACAAGGAAGAACCTGGAGGAGGGTGGACCACAGCTCAGGTGCTCTATGAATGTGGGTAATATTCACATTCTTGTTTTACTTTTAATCCTGGATTTTAACTGTAAAATTCTAATGCTAACTTCTTTTTTGCATTTTAATTTTTACTTAGAGCCTTCAGTACTTTATTCAATTAGGAAAATGTATGAAAGAAAACCAAAAGGCCTATATGCAGAAAGTACAGTCTTTAATCACCCTTCAGGTCTGGAACTGAATTCATGTCTGTGGCTCAATTTCCAACCAAGCAACAGACAGGTCTATAAGGGAAACTGTGGCACTAGGGAGGCATACGCACACTTTAACATCAACCATCTTAGATCAAAAGAGCAGCCTTTACCCAAAGAGAAAGTTCAGAAGGGTTGGGAGAGAAGGAGGACTGGAAACAGGAAACAGAGAGAGGATGTGGGATAAGAGGGGCTTGTAATCCATGACATGAAACAAAACATGTATCAATTGTTGAATGAAAAAAACAAGACCTGCATCTTGCTACACAGATTACTCCTATTACATAGTAGATCCCGTGTTTGAACCGACACACAGCCTGCCCTGTCTGTTTAAGGAGCTGGACTCAGAGGTTTCCTAAGGCAGGTGGCATTGCAGGCTCACACACAGAGCACAGACCCCCACAGCCATAGAAGGGATACATCCTATCTTTGTAAGGGAGTGATGAATTTCACTAAGTGACATCTCATTCTCATGGGGGAAAAGTGTGTAGCTGTGAATCTGGATGGAGCAAACCACCAAGTACTGATAGACAATACATCTAAGGAGCATGGTGAAGTGGAAAAAGGCAAACTTCATCTACAGATGGATCTTATGATATAGTTTGTAAAGAAAAACAAAAGGGGGATGAATGGGGATGAGTCTGTGTGTGTGTGCCTGTGTGTCTGTGCACTAAACATCCCTGGAGAAGTTAGAAAACGTCTGATAGGATTAGCTGCTGTCTAGGAAAGGAGCCAATGGCCGATGCAGGGTGAGAAGGGAGTTTTCTCTGCATCCTGTGCCCTGGTGCAAAGTCAAGCCTTCCTGACCTCCCATCCCCCAGTCCTTTCCCACTCACACTGCTTCCCTGTAGCCCCGCTGGAGGGGTAATCCAGTAATCATGGCCTGTGAGAGCTATAGACCCCTGTCTCCCCCAGCCTCCTAATTAAAATGACTCCAGGTGCTTACAGTCTACAGGTTAACGTTAGTTTTTTTTTTTTTTTTTCTTTTGTGCCCAGGGGAAGAAAGGTGAGGAGGGACCTCCTGGAACTCCCGGCCTGCTGGGACCACAGGTAATGACCTCCTTTATGTTCTTCTCCCTTACAACACTGTACCCTCTGATTAAATTAACTACCAGGTAGCAGCCAGAGCCCTGCCACACCCCTCATCAGAGCCTCTGGAAGAATGTTAAGAGTCATTGTCCCCTCCTGAAGGAGCAGACAGAGAGAGTGGAGAGGGAAAGACTTGGTTTAGTCCCTGTGCCTGCCAAATGGTCTCATTTATGTTGTTGGTTGTGACTCATAGCAGTCCTGCAAAGGGCTTCCGAGGAGCAGCTGGTGAGTTTGAACCTCCGACCTTTTGGTTAGCAGTCCCCACAACACCTCACTAGGACTCCACATACTCTCATTAGTATTCCTGTATCACCGTGTTTACTTTTCATAACCAGTCTCATGTCCATCTAAAACCTAAAGAAGCTGAAAGGCACACAACATAGTTAGTAGTGTGTTTAGTAATGCGACAATCAGTGTGCGATCTGTCCGGAGCTTATCGGTACCACTCTCAGCCTGCTCAATTCTTGTGTCTCCTTTTCAAGACAGGCTACTTCCGCCTGCTGGCCATTTTTATAGCAAGTATGCTCACCCACAAGGAGCCCTGGTGGTGTGGTGGTTAAAGCACTTGGCATCTAACTGGAACGTCATTGGTTCAAGTACACTAGCCGCTCCATGGGAGAAAGATATGGGTGTCTGCTTCCATGAAGATGTGCAGCCTTGGGAATCCTACAGATCAGCTTTACTGTCCTATGTTGTTGTTAAGTGCCGTCGAGTCGGTTCCGACCCATAGCGACCCTGTACAGGGTTTCCAAGGGTGTAAATCTTTACAGGAGTAGAAAGCCTCATCTTTCTCCCGCGGAGCATAGGAGGTCTATAAATTGGAGTCAACTAGAGGACACTGGGTTAGGTTTGGTTTTGGAGGAAGGAGCCCTGGTGGCATCATGATTAAAGTGCTCAGATGCTAACTGAAAGGGCAGTGGTTCAAATCCACCAGCAGCTCCCTGAGACACAGATAAGGCTGTCTGCTTTCATGAAGATGAGCACCATAAGGACCCTATGTTGTTGTTGCTCTTAAGTCCGCTCAGTTGGTTTCAACTCAGAGAGACCCTGCAGAGGGTTTGTAAGGAGTAGCTGGTGGATTTGAATCATCAGCCTTGTAGTTCAAAGCAACATTGCAGTCGAGTGCTTATCCTACTGCACCACACCAGAACTCCAGTTCTTTTCTGCTCTACAGGGTCACTGTGAGTTGGAATGGACTCGAGGGCAGTGAAGTTTTAGGGGATTTTGTGTCATACACAACCACAATGTAGTACCCATTGGATTCTGTATCCTGGGGGATTAAGAAAAGTAGAAATCTCTGTCTGGTGTGGTCACGTGTTCCTGTCTAGGCACGGCTGTGTGATAATGCTCGGGGATTGGAGATGCTTAGAGGAGGTGAGATCCAGACCACAGGAGGGGGCAGGCCAAGATCCAGGCCAGGGCCTCTCCACACACACACCCTGAAACAGGTAATCAGGATAATAACCCCAAAGAGTCACATCTTCAGGGGATGATTCACTGACTATGAACAAATTCCCCAAATAGCAAATGTCTCCGAGTGTCACAGAGTACATGAGCACCATGCTGACGTGGGACTGTCATTTCCCTGCACTTTTCACTTCCATCAGTCTCATGCATCCATTCCAGTTCTAGGTGGTTATTAGGAACAATTATCACCATTCCTTTATGAACAATAATTGAGTTAATTGGTTATTTATGCATCATCGTAACTACTAGGCGTATTAAATAGCTATTTAGTCACTGTGCTATTAGAAGGATCATATGGCATTTCATTAATAATAATTAGACTAATTTGTTAATGAATAAGTAGAGTCATCACTTAGTTGTTTCCATTAGTAATAATTAAGACAATCCTATGTTTCGTTGTTAACATTTACATCTACTGGATAATTTGTCACTCTCATTAATAGTTGGATGATGTGCTATGTGGTAATTTTTAGAAATGGTTAAAGAGCAAAAGGTGAAATGGCACCTGGAAATGCCTTCTAGGTACTGGGTGGACTCACGTACCTTCTTCAGTACACACTGGGAGACTGTGAGGGAAAGGATCCCAGCTCTTGTGCTACAGTTGAGAAGTCAAATGTAATGAGAGATCTGTCACTTAAATTGATCCAAGTAGTATTAGGCCACTGAGGATCTGGCCCCCAAACCAGATCAAACCAGATCAAACCAGTTGCCATTGAGTTAACCTCAACTCATGGTGACTGACCCCATGTGTATTAGAGTACAACTGGGCTCCCTAGGGTTTTCAATGGTTGATTTTTCAATTGATCCCTAGACCTATCTTCCATCGTGTCCCTGAGTGGAATCGAACGTCTCTAACCTTTTGGTTCATAGCCAAATTATTAACCACTTGTGCCACACAGACACCAAGACTTGACCCAGAGCATCCTAAATCAAAGCTGTATTTTATAAAATCTAGTTATGCCGCCATTGCTACCACTAATAAACTTAGTAATACTAAAATAGATTTAATTCAACAATATAAACTAGTTTTTTTAATCTTTAATACATGTGTTAGTCTATCAGACAGGAAGTTTTGCCGCTAGTTAGAAACCTTGTGAGGATCAAAGACACATTACTCCTGCCCACCCATCACTTGGTTCCATGAGAAAGTGAAGGGACAGGTCTTCTCTAAGGTCACACTTGAGGAATATACAGTTACCTGTTAAGGGTACCATGTTGGGGACTGGGTGTGGTGCAAAACAACCATGGTGTCTGCTCATGGCATTGAGGGTCTGAAAGAAATGAACTGACCTTTACCTGAGGCTTGAATTCTGACTTCACTCCTGGAAAGAGTCGGTCTCTGGTTGGATCCTACATCATCTATCTGTATGCATTCAGGGCTTTTGACACTAAGTATATGAGATGCTAACATCCTGTGATATGCAGATGACACAACACTTGCTCAAACTGAAGAGGACTTAAAGCACTTACTGTTGAAGACCAAAGACTACATCCTTCAGTATGGATTGCACTTCAACATAAACTAGAAATCCTTACAACTGGACCCATAAATAATGTCATGATAAATTGAGATAATACTGAAGTTGTCGTGGATTCCATTTTACTTGGAGCCACAATCAATGCTCATGGGAGCAGCAGTCAATGGATGCATTGTGTTGACTGAATCTACTACAAATGACCTCCTTAAACTGTTAACAAGCAGAAGTGTCACTTTGAGGAATAAGATGTACCTGATATAACCATGGTCTTTTGAATCACTTCATATGCATGCAAAAGCTGGACAATGAATAAGGAAAACCAAAAAATTGATGCCTTTGAATTATGATATTGGTGACGAATATTGAATATACATGGACTGCCAGAAGGATGAGCAAATCTGTCTTGGAAAATGTACAGCCAAAAAGTTTCTTAGAAGCAAGGATGACAAGACTGTATTTCACATACTTTGGGCATTTCACCTTGATGGAAGAACACGATGTTTGGTAAAATGAAGGGCCAGCACAAAACAACAACCATCTATGCCATTAATTGAAGCAGAGGCTGCAATGATTGGCTGAAGCACAGCAACGATTGTGAGGACAGTGCAGGACCGGACAGTGTTTCATTCTCTCATACATAATGTTGCTATCAGTTGGAATGGGCTAGATGGCACCTAATAACAACAATTGATGTGGTTTCATTTCCCTGTTGAAAGAGTTGGAAGTAGAATCAAGGAAAACCTGTGTATATAGTCAATCCCCCGTCTACTCCTCCTGTCTTCACTATGTATGGGCTTTGCTTTCTCACATGTACAGTAAGAAATGGTATTCCACGGTCTCTAAACTCCAGCAGTCTCTCCCTTCAACACTCCAGTTCCTCCCTTCTAGGTGATAGTCCTGCCTTGTGTCCAAGATGGAACTGCCTGTTGCTGACTCAATTCCCCTCAAATGTACACCCACAAATCCATTCTAAGTGCAAATTCATCTCCACTTGGGGACCTCATAGGCATCAGCATGTAACAGAACCAAGCACAGAGCGGTCTTGAAGGACCTTCAACAGGCATTCTCATGACTCGTCTCCAGTGATGTGGCCCACTAAGGATGAGAAGAGCAGAGACTTACTCTGCATTCCACTGGCCACAGTCCCTGTCCCACCTGATGCCTGGGTCCTTGGGTCCCCACTGTCACTTCTTCTACCCTAGACTATCCGAGTCCCTGTCTTCCTAGATTCTTGTCATCTGAACGTGACATCATCTGACCACACCTACTGAGCACCTGTGTGCCTTTGAGACTGACAGATCACAGACCACAAACCTCATTTCTCTGCAGATGTGCTTGATTTGGTGTCCACGGCTTCTTTGTTTTGAATTCTCAAAATAGGGAGACTTCTGGAAAGATGGCAGACTAGGCACACTACATGGATCCTTTGCAACAAGGATATGAGAGACCAAGGCAAGCAGACACAGATGAGAGTTCAAACAGAAAAAAGTTAGAGAAGTGGATAGAGTGCTTGTAGGAGGAGAGAACCAAGCAGAGACAGTGAGAAAGGGGCCTGACTGGTGAAAGGCTGGCTGATGTGGCTCGGCCATTGTGTGAGCAGCTTTGACCAAAGAAGAAAGCCCGGAAGAGCAGATTCACACAGGCAAGAGGAAAGATGTGATTTCTTCTTTTTTTACCCATACTCCCCTGATGACCAGAGGTGTAGTCAGCTCTCACCCTCAGCAACCCCCACTGCAAACCCTGCTCTTCAGGAATTCAGAACCACGTGGTTGGGGGCTATGCTAGTGAGCTGGGGGCTGGCTGCACCACTTTGATGTACTTCCTTGGTGCCTGGATTCAGGTAGGCTTGGCTCCAGACCTATAAAACCCAAAGATCCACCAGACCAGCATGTAACCAGTCACCTTGCCCCTAGCTTCCCAGTGGTCGTAATAGACACTGAAACCAACCCCATCAAGGGCCCCCAAGAACTACTTCTGGATTGAGTGCCCTGAACATAGAAAATACCCAGGCTGATA